GAGGACGCCTGCCTCGCTCAGTGGCGGCACATCAGTGTGGGCAGATTTCTTTTATTTTTATTTAGTCATTTTGTTAATCCTCATTCAAGGATATTGTTCCATTGGTTTTAGAGAAAGTGAAAGGGAGAGGGAGAGACAGAGAGAGAAACGTGGATGGGAGAGGGACACATTGATTGGTGTCCTCCCACAGGTGCCCCAGCCCTTGGCAGGGATCAAGGCTGCAACCAAGGCGTGTGCCCTTGATAGGAATTGAACTTGGGACCCTTCAGTCCACAGGCCGATGCTCTATCCACTGAGCAAAACTGGCTAGGGCATAAAGGCATATTCTTTTATTTATATTTCTCATCATTTTTAAATGTGTTTATTATTTATTTATTTTTTCAGAGAGGAAGGGAGAGGGAGAGGGAGATAGAAACATCAATGATGAGAGAGAATTATTGATAAAAGAGAATTATTGACCAGTCCTGCAACCTGGACATGTGCCCTGACAGGGAATCAAACCCTGACCTCCTGGTTCATAGGTTGATGCTCAAGCCCTGAGCCACACCAGCTTGGCTAAGCCAATTTCTTTTAGAATATTGAACAGACTAAAATCTACAAGGTGGCTCCATGGTCTACAGGGCTCTATATATAAATCAGAAAATTGTTATTTGGCTCAAAACTCCAGTTGGGTCGGTGGATAGAGCATCAGCCTGAGGAGCAAAGGGTCGCGGGTTTGAATCTGGTCAAGGGCACGTACCTTGGTTGCAGGCTTCTCCCTGGCCCAGGCCCTGGTCAGGGCTCCCGCAGGGGGCAACCAATCGGTGTGTTCTCTCACATCCATGTTTCTCCTTGTCTCTCCCTCTCCCTCCCACTTTCTCTGAAAATCAATGGAAAATTATCCTCGGGTGAGGATCAAGAAAAAATAAAATCCCCCCTGAGGTAGAGGGGGTGGGTTCCTTGGGCCGAACAGCTCAGGGGATGGCTTCCGCTCCCACGTGCCTGTGTTCCAGGGGCACAGAATCCTGAAGGTCAGGTGATGTTGGGGACCAGGTGGGGCCTCCCCATGAGTGATGGGTGAGCCTGGCCTGATGGGCCCTCCTTCCAGCCTCAGAAAGGTGAACCTCCCCCTACCTCCCAGCTGCTGGTCCCAGGTCCGGCTGGTGGAACAGGAGGGTGCCCCTCAGGGTGACCATGTCTCATAGCTGCTCCGCCCCCTGGGTCACTGTGGCCACCACCTCAGGGCCCAGTCTGGGCACCGTGCACCCACCCACCCCTGAGGCTTTGTGACAGGTGGCCTCTGGCAGGTGTGCTCTGAGGGAGGTGAGGCCAGAGGGAGCGCAGGGGGCTCCCCACCCCCCTAAGCAGCCGCAGGCTCCCCAGCACCTCAGCAAGGAGGGCGCCAGGCTCAGAGGCTGAGAGGTGTCCTGCTGTGCTGACCGTCCAGAGGCCAGAGTGGGGATCATTGCCCGGGTGTCCATCTGTTACCCAGAAACCCCCGGGTGGGCTCGGCTGCCTGTCGCTGTGTCCGGTCACCAAGGCAGGGATGAGTCCCATAAGGCGTTTACTGAGAAGGCGGCCCACCCAGCAGGCAGGGCGCTTACACCCATCGAGTCCTGTCTCCCAGCAGCTGCAGGGACCGGACTATAAGGGGAAGGGGCTGGGTGCTGTGTGCAGCCCTGGGGGTCTCAGCCGTCAGCTCTTGTCCTCAGTCCCCAGGCGAGGAGATGCTGTTGGTCAGATGGTGTTTTGGCTCCTGGTGGGTGGGCCTGACCCTGCTCATGGGTTCTGCTCGCTGGCCTCACAGCTCAGTCACCTCCCCAGTCACTTCGCTCAGGGCTTGGGAAGGAAACTTAACAAAAACGTAACCCTGTTCACATGTAAGAAACGTACCCCTGTTCCCGTTAGTGTGTGTGTCCTAAGATTTAAAAGAACAGGATTGCTCTTCAGAGTCATCCAGGTGCCCTGCCGACCAGGGTAGAAGCCCCATCCCATCCGAACCCAAGGCCGGGCCCGCCCTGTGCCTCTGGGAGGAAGCAGCAGCCCATCAGCATGGTGTTCCCACACTCACCTGTGCCTTTGTTTCCCGCAGGACGTGAAGGGCGCCCTGAGCAGGTGAGTGCTGAAGGGAGGACCAGGGGGAGTGGGGTGCGGAGCCGTGTGGTGCCCCCTGAGCAGCTCTGGCCTCTGCTCCCCCAGGAGCCAGGCTGTGCGGCTGGTGATGCCGGAGGCCGTCTCCTTGGAGATTGAGGCCGAGTACAAGGTCCCTGAGGTCTCCTTTGACCCAAGGAAAGGGTTGAGCAGCCATCAAGGTACGTGAGGACATTACCAAGCCCCCAGGGGATCGAACTCAGTGCAACCTCAACCCCACGGGTCACGGGGACAAATGGGAGGGTTTCTACTTTATGGTCACAACCCTGAGCTCCCATCGCTGGTCTGAAACAAGGCTCAGACTCCAGAGCACAGGCTGGTCTTCTCTTAAAGAAAGTGTGTTGGGAGGGGGACTCTCCTCCAGCCCAGAGCTCTGAAAGCCACCCATGGCCTGCGGGGTGGGGTGGTCACGGCCCACAGGAGCCCTTCGTGTGCCCTTGGGGAAGGGTCCTGGGAGGAAGCACCCAGCCGCCTCTTTCGCACCCTCTGAGGGGACATTCTAGGAACAAAGGAGACCCCAGGACCCCATCCCCCAGCAGAACTGGGAGTTCAAGTCAGTGATGGCTAACCCCCAAGTGGTCGTCGTTCCCCTGTGAATGCCCACGCTGACAGCCAGCGCCCTGAATTCTACCCTTGTGGTTCTTCTAATCACCAGGACCCCTTGAGGATGGTCTCCCTCTGTCCGTATTCGTTTGGGATTTCTTGAACCATCTGACAGAGCAGCCTGGCAGTTGTGAAACTGACATGGAGCAGTTTGCAGAGACCCTGAGCGGCCGGGTCACCACGGACGAGGCTTTGCAAGAACTTGTGGACCTCATCTATCAACAGGCCACGTCCGAGCCAAAGCTCCGCTGCGTGGGAGCGCTCCTGTGTAGTTACCTGACCCATCACCTGACCAGTAGCTCACAGAGGGACAGCTTCTGCCAAGTGCTCCTTCAAAGAATAGAGGCTGATTATGAGCCTAGAGATCAAGCTGCCAAGGGGGATGAAGCAGCTCGGAAACGATTCCACGGGTTCGTGCTCTTTGTGGGAGAACTTTATCTTCCACTGGAGAACGAAGGTGCAAATACAGAGGCTCGAGTAGCTTTTCTTCAGGAGTTGTTGGATGTCCTGCTTTCTCACCCCGTGGACGATAACCTAATTTGTGCAGTAAAATTCCTGAAGGTGACAGGGCCCGCCCTGGAAGATGCCTGGAAGGCACAAGGAAAGACGGACATGGACGACGTTATCCAGAGGATTGAGAATGTTGTCCTGGACGCCTTCTGCCATGTAGACGTGAGGCACACGCTCTTGAAGCTTGTAGAGCTCCGGTCAAGTAACTGGGGGAGAGTCCCTGTCACCTCAGCATCCAAGAGAAGCAGCACCTGAGAATGATCCCAACTGTTTTGTGACGGAACCGCCATTGGGTCTAGCAGATGGTGTTCCTCTCCCTGCAGCTGGTCCCGATGGCCATGATTCAATCAGGAGTGACCTGAGGGCGGGAGGGGAGGGGGAGGGGGAAGGACATATGTGATACTTTCAACAATAAAGATTCATTAAAACAAAAAAGAGTGACTTGAAGAGAAGACTCTTTTTCCAGATTGTGAAGAAAATGGAGCAGGTGTGTCCGGGGTGGTGACCGTACTTGGATGATATTGATGACGAGGTGGACCCAGAAGCTTATGCAGAGTTTTGTTTGGAACCAGAGCGTCAGCAGAAGCCGTCGGGTTAAACGTCCACGGGTCAGAGTGAGGAAGCCGTGCAGGTGATGGTGGGAACCGGAGGCAGGAAACCTGTCACACTTGTACCCGATGGAGGACGCAGAGTGATGTTACTAATGTATGCACCTTCAATCGTGCATAACACTCTCTGCCACAATAAGCCCTATTCCCTAGAACTTAAAAAATAAAATAAAATGAAATAAACTGTGTTGACTGTTATGGGTTAGCTCAGCGAGATAGACCACCGACTCAGAATTTAAATTTTAAGAGCCTTTATTAAGCTGGCCAGCTGACTGCAGCCGTGTCCCTCCTGTAGGAGCATCACAGCTTGCAGTGCTCACCGAGAGTACAGCAAGACCTTTTATCTGCAACACTACAAAGCATTTTTTTAAAAAAGAAAAAACAAACTGCAAAGTGGTTCATTAGCCGTTCCTGGTACTGGCAGGGTAAAAAGTTTACATAAAATTTACGAGCAAGGCCAAAACCGGTTTGGCTCGGTGGATAGAGCGTCGGCCTGCGGACTGAAGGGTCCCAGGTTCGATTCCGGTCAAGGGCGTGTGCCTTGGTTGCGGGCACATTCCCAGTGGGATGTGTGCAGGAGGCGGCTGATCGATGTTTCTCTCTCATCGATGTTTCTAACTCTCTATCTCTCTCCCTTCCTCTCTGTAAAAAAATCAATAAAATATATTAAAAAAAAAATTACGAGCAGGGTCACACCTGGCTGGGTTTAATCATAACACATGGCTTTTCTAGCGAGGTAATTAGCAATTTTTCTCTCCCATGGTCCCTGCCCCTCAGCCTACTCAGTGATTCTTCTTTGTCAGGCCCCTGCCCCTAGCACATTCCCTACTGGTCTTATGCCCGAATCAAATCTTTGATTCAGCATCCTCCTCTAAGATTCTGGAGTTACATTTTATTCACCACGGTGGGCCCGGGGAAATGAATTTAAATTCTAAGCAAAGCCACAAGCAGAACTTCCCTTTCTATGGAAGAGCCAGCCCTTTGTGTGCTTGCTGGTGGCGGCCTTGAAAACTACACAGTTCTATCCAATCAAAAATGCCCCTGGCATGGCATTTGGTGTATCTAGTCTCTGACCTACAAGGCCAGACAGCCAAGTCTATCTCCCCCATTATTCAAGCAGGCTAAAACGGGCTAGGAAGCAAATTTATCTTCTAGAATAAGAGGCCGTCCAAAGAACAGCAGAGAACTCCAAACAGTAGTCCTACAGAATAGGGGTTTTCCTTCACATTCCCCCCGCTTGTTCCACAAGCTTTTCAGCCTTGTGCTACAACAACCAGGGGATGTTACGGTGAACAGGTGTGTCGATCGATCTTTTACTACTTCCTGCTGGAAAGGGACAACGTCCAAGGGGTTAACATCCGGTTTCTTCTTCTTGGAGAGGTTTGTAGGGAATTTTGTCTTATTCATCTTGTTCCTCTTTAGTGTAGGAAGCAGTAATTTTATGGTGCTTCTGTATTCCAGCAAGGGCAGAAGAGTTCTCCTCCTGGGACTAGCCTCGGATTCCTGTGGCACTCATAAAAAGACAAAATGAGAATTACTAGAAAGATAAAAACAATGATTATCCAGAAATACCCGAGCATCTTGACTTTAAGAGAAGATAAGAAAGAAAGTGTAAGGAATAATTCAGCAAGGTGTTCTCTGAATCCTTTGGAGTAGGTTGATTGGCCAGGTCCGCTGTCTTCTTGAGGGTGATCTGCAGCGGGTGTGTCTGGTCAGAGGTCACCTTCCACTCAGGCTCCCTGCTGTCCTGGGCATAGAAGGAGGTGGGCTTGTGACCTGGCAGAGACAAATTGTAACAGATGGTCTGGTGGAAGGGAAGGAAAACATTTCAGTTCTAACAGTCTCTATTGAAATAGGATTTTTCTCCTTAAATTTCCTCTATGGTTATCAAAAAGCCAAATCAAGACCATTTTATCTACTGTATTCAATTTGGCCTGATCGTTTCCATAAACACAACAAGAATGGTAACTGACTACCTTTGCCGGAACTTTATGATTTAATCTTAATGTGCCCCATAGGGCCAGGAAGCTAAGCCATCCAGCTGCCATCAGGCCCGCCTGCAGTATCCACTGAGTTAGGTGAATCCCTCACCTGTAGCAACTCCACCTGAGCCCACACTCTAGGCTTTTAAGGCCCATCTGAGTAGCCCTCCTACTCGTTGCGGCCCAGAGTGAGTGGGGGTTCCACAGGGACGCAGAGGCGTCCTTATTGCTCCCCTTCTACTCTGACCAACCGCCAGTGATGGTAGGGCATGGGCCTGATGCTCCAGCGCCAGCCATCTTCAGGGCTCCTAAGCAGGATACCAGGCTTTTCCTGTGGCACTTTTATTGGCTTCAAGTCTTCAGAGTCCAGACAGGTCTCTTTAAAACATGATATTCTAGTCAAAGTTTCCCATTAATAAAACCACTATTAGGAATCAGTCTTATTGGATCTATGCAAAGAAATGTATTGCCATGATTTATTACGCATTGCCAAATTTTGGAGGAATTATATAAGGAGAAAAGCATACTGACCTGCTCTAAGATTTTCTGATTTTCCTTGCCAGTCCCTTTACATGGACTCTTCAGAGTAATTGTCTTTAAATGGCAAGAAGAAATTTATAATGTGTCTATATTCAAATAGACAGTTATAGCTGTCCCTGTAGTAGGGCTCCCCTTACTTGACTTGTTTTCTCGGAACAGACTAAAGGAGCTTTATTTCTTTACAGGGTTTTATATGTCACAGGACCTCACAGGGTCTGTAATTCCTGTAACAGAGGGCTAGTACTCAACCACTTCACTACTTCCTTCTGTTCTAAACAGGCCTTCCCAGTTTCCTACAGTTGAGGTTTGTACCACCCTGACATGGGCATAATCACACAGGCCTGCAAGACAGTATACAGGCTGCCAACTGTCAACTGTCTCTCAATAGAGACCAAAACCTGATGGGTATTCTTCTTTGCCCACCTGAGCAACTGCCCTCTCAGCAGCTAGACACCCTTTACTTTTTGGGTTTACCCCACATAGCCCCCTTCTAGGACAGCTAACACATAGCCATAACAATCGCCCTCAGTGTGGGAGACTGGACACTTGCCAGTTACTCCCAAAGACTACCAAGGACTGTAGACCATCACCAGTCTACAGCAGCTGCTGGCAGTTACAGCTACATTCAAACCTGTAAGACAATTAAAGGTTAATATAACATATTAATACAATGAAACATAATATTGGCATGATGGCAGCTTCAGGCAGTTAAATCTTCTGCTACTAAATATGTCATATGGTAGGGCTATATAAACCTCTTAGGGAGGTGACTAAAGTCTACTCTTGACCTTGCCTTTTTAAGGCAAAATTGTCCTTGTCTCTCTGGAGCCATATCCATGAAGATGGAGGCATCATTTAAGTCTTTTATACAGTTTTCTGCAGGTTACTGTCAGGGCTGTACACTGCGGCCAGTTCTTCTTTCTAGC